GGTGTATTTTAATTTAATTTTTCTTTTTAGTGAAAAAAATCAAAACATGAAGGAAACCGGCAATTACAAGTCAAGGTCCATTTTTAGTAGGTAAAAATTGACTTTATGCCTCTAAACTACAAAAAAATAATATTAGGGACCTTTTAAAATAAAACCCGATAGTTGGTTGGGTTATAGTGACATTACCCAAAGAAATCCCATATATTTCTCCAATTCAATTTTCCTTTTATCTCAACCTCTTCTCACTTTTGCTGTTTGCTACGTTTCTTTTGGTACAACATGGGCTGAATATTTAGATTCAGAAGGCCAATAAATAGTTTGGGCCTATGTATCTTGCAACCTGATGGGCTGCTCATTCCTCGTTTTCTTTACATGCGTTGTTGAAACTTGAAAGGCTTCAAATCATATTCCATCCCAACCTTTGCCAAAAAAAAAACCAAACAAAGCAATTATGGTTAAATCGACATAAGCGTTTACATAAGCACCAAAAATCGTATTTTTAGATTGTTTTATGTCCAAAACATTATTGTTTACAAATACGTTCAATTTATGTTTAATTTGATTTAAAACTTAAAATTCCAGGATAAAAATTAGCATTTTGGAACATGTAAGGGCGTGTGCAGCAGATTTTCATGTACTTTTAGCTTTCAATTTTTCACAAAATGCTTCATTTAAACAAAAACTTCCTTTGAGAGTATGCACTTTTAATTTTTAGTTTAAAAGTTATTTCATGTAACCTTTAAGTAAAAATTATTATGCTTTCTTAGTCAATTTTTATAATCGCCTTTAATTTTAATTGTTATTGTGATTCTTATTCTGGACAGGTTCTTTTTTATGTAATTTTACACATTTCAAAAACTTTCATCTACTTTTACCATACACTCATATAATAATTAAAAGCTACAACTTCCGTTTACCAACCACCAGTTTCTGACTGTCCAGGTAGTTTTGTCAAACAAATATATTAGGGATCAAATTTGAGCATTAAACACATGCCCAATTTTTAAACATTGTTTTTGTACCGAACAATGAAAAGAAAATTAAGCGATAAATGGAAAAAAAATATTTGATCCATATGATATATCCGCATCTTTAACAATCCTTACAAATACAAACAGTATATGCAAAGCACTAAAACAACCCACACTATACGTTTAGGAAAATAAGGACTCCAAGTCATATGCTGGTACTTACAAAAATTAATATGTTCTTGTGCCGAGAAAAAAAACTTAACAAAATCATGAACTTCAAACGTTATCCTCAAAATAATAAGGGCGAGCATCCAATAATACCAACAATATCTTGCACTTCATTAACATCAACTCCAACCCCATCAAGTTACTTTTATACAAATTTAGTTTCAACGCCGATACAAGAAAGAAACAATGAAGGATTCTCGTGATATTTCTAGTATTTGCTTTTGACCATTTAGCAAGAAAAATCATATTTTATGCATTGAAAAGTGTGATACTAGCATAAGACCAATGTAACTTGGGACCCATAATAAATCATCTCTTTTATAATCACACGCAAACCTTCCACGTCTAAAATAAATAAAATAAAAATAAAATAGGTCACCTTGATGAGGTCTTTGTTTGATTTGAAACACCGGGGTTGGAGAGTCGTTGAATAAAATAGATGTTATTAAGGCGGGTAGGAGTGGGAAGAAGAAGGACTCGGCAAATCTGAGGTGGATGGTGACATGGAGCTCGACAACTCGGGGAACACCGCCCCGTCACCTCAGCATGCCGAGGTTTTCGGTGGAACTCAACAAAACTTCACCGAGTTCTTCTCTTCAGCAACTGAAGAAGATGACATTGAGGGGGTGGTGGCCTCGGTGGTAGGGATGAAAGTGAGTCCAAACCCGAACCGGATGGACCCGGACCCGGTTAACGTGATTTTGTAGAACCGGAAACTAGACCAGTATATAGGAACCGGTTCTGGTTCGGTTCGGGTACGATACCGGGTAAAATGGATCTAGAACCGGAAAGTCTGAAAACATCAAAGTGGGTAGGTTGGAACCGGATAAAGTGAGTTTAGAACCGGAAAACCCGAAAGAACCGAATTTTTTTGGTAATTAATTACTACTTAGTGGGTTGAACTTTAAAAATTTTCATATTGATGTCCCGACTTCGGGGACTGTAAGTCATTGAATATGAAACCAAAATTGACAAAATTATAGTTTAAAATCATGTACAACTCTAAAGTACACTCTGCAAAAAAACTGTATATCAATCCGACTTTAAACGAATGAGATATGCTTGTGTTAACATTTTCACAGAATTCAAAGTACAAAAACAAATAGCTGAAAAGTTGAGAATTTTCAGTTTTGATATCCCGACTTCAGGGGACTGTAATTCATTGAATATTAAACCAAAAATGAGAAAATTATAGTTTAAAATCATGTACAAACTCTAAACTACAAGTTAGAGAAAACCGCATGTCAATCCGACTTCAAACGAATTAGATATGCATGTTTTAAAACTTTCACAGAATACAAAAAAGGTGAAAAACAAAAAACTTTCAGTTTTGATATCTCGACTTTGGGGGACTATAAGTCAAAGAATATAAAACTAAAAATGACAAATTTATAGTCTAAAATCATGTACAAACTCTAAACTACACTTTGGGAAAAACGTATGTCAATTCGACTTGAAACAAATGAGATTGCATGTTTTAAACGTTTCACAGAAATCGGTTCCGACCCCTAAAAGTGGTTCTAGTTCCTAACACCGGTTCCGGTTCTTAGACCCGGTTTGCCTGGACCTGATGGACCCAAACCCGGATTACCCGAAACCCGGATAAAGCCAATTTTTAAACATTGAACCAGAACCGGTTCTATATATTCTAGTTCTAACGGTTTCGGTTCTGGTCCGATTTTCCGATTTTAAATCTCATCCTACTCGGCGGTCTCGGCACCACTCCGAGAAGCCTAAAGATATGTTTCCTAAAGCCAAATCCAACCTAGATTTGTTGAAGGTCCAATCAGATGTATTGTCGTCTTTAGCATGTGTGTCTGTGTCGTTCGAGTTCTCCAAGGTGATTTGCTTTCACCGAGGCTTCATAGATCATCTCTACCATCGATGCTTTATGGGTTGATTGCAGCGGTTGAGGTTTTATAAGAGGTTTCTGGTGAATGTAAGAATATGGGAGGGATTTGGCGGATTTTGGCATCTACGAGGCCATTAACATCGGTTTTTGTTTAGTTGAAAGCTTTGAGCTCCAATGGCCGATCGTAGCCTGAGACGAATGAAGCAAAAGGGTCTCGATTTAGTCGATTTATTTGAAGATGATTTGCGTGGGTCTTGATTTATCTCTCTTCTTTGCTACTAGATTACCCAAACAAGGAGACTCCCAAAAAGCCTGGTTCCTTCATCTGATTTTGAATGTTTTGTGTGCTTTACAATTGATGAACATTCATAGATAGATTGGTGCTTTTGAATCAGATTTTGGTTATAAATGCTAAATATTTGATGATTTAGATCGAATCAACTTTTCTTTTGCAGGAATTTGAAACAAGAAACAAAAACGACTTCTGATTTCTGATTCTTTTATAGCGGTGGCATCCGGTGGAGGTGGTGGCAGCGGGAGGTGGTGACGGTAGCTATAGGTGGTGGTTAAAAATAGAAGCAGTGGACGGTGGTGATTTAGATGGTCAGAGCAGATGAAGACAGACACATCTGTCGGTTCCAACGGAGATAGAAGGGGGGGGGGGGGGGGGGGGGGGGAGGGGGGTGGGGGTGGGGCCCATTCTTTTATTTTTATTTTTAATTAATAAATTATCAAAAGGAAATATAAAAAATACAAAAAAGAAATTAAAAAGACAAAACCGTCAATTCAAGGTTTTCCAAGGACTAAAACCACGAGAATTTCTTAATTATGGGATCAAAACCACGGAAAATTCTTGATTTTGAACATTTAATGCAAGTCGAAAACTTTTTGGACTCTATCCATAGTTTTTTTGCAAACTAAAGCCATGAGTTTTTGTTGTATTGGGTGTGTTTTGTATTATTGTTATTTTGCAGGGACTGGGGCTCGTTTTCGTTAAATGTAGAAAGCACGTGGATCTGTCTAGACGGGTTTGAGTTGGGTAAAGTTCGACTTTGATCCATGATTCTTGAACCGACGTATATATTGTTTGATTCTAGTCCTGAGAGCTTATTATTCAGATCAACTCACACTCACACGCTCTCTATTCTCACATGTTCTCTCGTCTTCTCCATTTTTAGGGTTTCAGTTCAGATTAGGGTTTCTCTATCTGTTCTGTAAATCTTGTTCATAGTTTTGTACTTATTTTTGTTTCTATTTTCTGTTTGAGTGAGAATGATTTTTTATAGGTGAGGTTTCAATTATAAATACCTAAAAACCAACTGGATCTTGTTGTTCGTAATAAAAGATGTGTTGCTATTGTCATTTTGATATGTTCTTTACAATTTTAACAAGTTATCTTGTTACTTAGGTCAAATAATATAATTTCATAACAAATGTAACAATTTTTCTTTTAAAAAAAAGGATATAACAATACCCATACATATTGATGCAGTCGTCTTTGCGACACCAATCCTTGACCTATGATTCATTATGCGAAAATCACATTTGCGGATATTGGAACCGAAACACCAAAACAATACTAGAACCAATATATTCACGACAGTTCGGTCATCAGTTCATCCTTTGGAGCGACTTTGTTTTCGGTCCATTTTGTGCTGGAATTGAAACCAAGGTCATCCGTAATCGTTGAAATAGTTAAAACAAATTTCAAAACAAATCGTTTATTTCATGAGCCAACAGATATTTGCAGGTCATCTCTATTCTCTACGAATTTAGTGCTTATTTTTTGAAACAGTTTACTTTTTATATGAGTTATCAAAAAACTTATTTTTTTTTTCTTCTAATACATGACAAACTAATTATAATATGGGAGCTTTTTGTCGTAAATAATAACATATTTTCGACATCACTTTTGTGTCAAAAGTTTTTTCTTTTCTCCCCCGTTTCCACTTCTTGTCCGTTTCTCCCACTAAATAAATATATCTTCATATTCATATATGAAACATTATTTTAGAGAGGGAAACATATAGATACATATATACGTATAGAGCGAGAAAGAGAGATTTTGCTGTATGTCAGTGGAGTACTACCACAGTAGTGACCAAGAATACGGCACTTACAGTGAGCTTCATAATCCTCAACAATGGCCTCAACGTCGGAAAAAGCGACGCCTCTTCTCCTCCGAGACGTTACTTCATCCTCTGCCGCCGATGTCGTCCAGGGTTGGACATCTGATCCCTCTGTCGGCGATCAGATTCGCCACCGCGGCACAGCTACTTCTGTCGGTGACTTGATTGGTCCTGTGGTTACTCAAACCTCCGCTGCTGCTGCTGCTGCTGCTAAAGGTAGTCACGGAATTTAAATGATCTGTGTGGAAATTTTAATTTGAGTACTCCAGCTTGTTAATGTCAATCACGATCTCTGATTTGTTCGTAAGAGTTAGGTGAAAGTGGAACCGGTTTAATATGTGATCGTAGTTGTTAGAATTTCTGCTAAAACGTGTTCCTTACAGGTGTACAAATTATTTTTCAATTCATATTTGATGTTCTTGTTAGCTATAGTTATAGATCTACAGATTGCGATTGTGGAATTGACTTAACAGACTCAAACATTTTTTTTTACTATATATACTCTAATTTGGGGTAAATATACTTATCCTAGAGACAAAACGGGTCATATGCAGCCCTAATCATTTTCCTTGAGATATGACGTCGACAAAACGTGACATACAGTAAATTTGACTATGATATGGTTTATTTGATCGTTTTGTATCATCAGCTATTATGCGTCACACGTTTTAATACATAAAAATGCAATTACATTGTGTTTGAGATACTGGAATTTGATGTTTTGAATTGGAATTCATGATCAATCCATTCAAATTTAAAGAGATGGTTTCTCTCCTTTACCAATTTCAATTCCAAGCTATGAAGATGGAAATCAATGATTTCCTTAGTTTTAGCAAGTATTATTTAATGCATTCATTAACTGAAACTTGTCTATTCAGGAACTGGACCAACAAGTATGGTGAGGATGCAGACTCGACATCCACTTGATCCTCTAGCTGCTGCTGAAATCTCCATAGCTGTGGCAACTGTTAGGGCTGCTGGAGCAACTCCAGAGGTTAATAATTCCCACACATTCATATAAAAATCCTCAACATGTGTAAACCTAACATGAAATCTAAATTGTAAACACAGGTGAGAGATAGCATGAGGTTTATAGAAGTAGTTCTTGTTGAACCATCAAAAAGTGTAGTTGCATTAGCAGATGCATATTTTTTCCCACCTTTTCAACCATCATTGTTACCCAGAACAAAAGGAGGACCTATAATCCCAACAAAACTCCCCCCTCGACAAGCTAGACTCATTGTTTACAACAAGAAATCAAACGAAACCAGCATATGGATTGTTGAGTTATCAGAAGTTCATGCTTTAACTCGAGGTGGCCACCATAGAGGGAAAGTCATTTCATCTAAAGTAGTCCCTGATGTCCAACCTCCAATGGTATAAAACCTAAACTCAATACTCAATACTCAATACCTTGTTTTGTTTCTCTTCTTGAATCCTTACCATTACCAATTATCATCTGTTTCAAACAGGATGCTGTTGAATATGCTGAATGTGAAGCCATTGTGAAGGAGTTTCCACCATTTCGTGAGGCCATGAAGAGAAGGGGGATTGAAGATATGGATCTTGTGATGGTGGATCCATGGTGTGTTGGGTACCACAGTGAAGCTGATGCACCAAACCGTAGGCTAGCAAAACCACTTATATTTTGTAGGACAGAAAGTGATTGTCCCATGGAAAATGGATACGCACGTCCAGTTGAAGGAATTGATGTTTTAGTTGATATGCAAAACATGGTGGTGATTGAGTTTAAAGACAGAAAACTTGTTCCTTTACCCCCTGCTGATCCTTTGAGAAATTACACAGCTGGTGAAACAAGAGGAGGTGTTGACCGAAGTGATGTCAAACCACTCAACATTGTTCAGCCTGATGGTCCGAGTTTTCGTGTTAATGGCCATTTTGTTCAATGGCAAAAGGTATGTATGTCTTCTTTCTCCATCTTTTTCAATTATGTTAAAATAATGAAGTTGAGCTTAAGTTTTTGAATTATATATGACAGTGGAATTTTCGAATTGGGTTTACTCCAAGGGAGGGTTTGATCATATATTCTGTTGCATATGTTGATGGAAGCCGGGGTCGTAGGCCTGTGGCCCACAGATTAAGCTTTGTAGAAATGGTGGTTCCTTATGGCGATCCAAATGATCCACATTACAGAAAAAATGCGTTTGATGCAGGGGAAGATGGATTAGGTAAAAACGCTCATTCTCTTAAAAAGGTAATCAATCTAGTTTTTTTTTTTTTTTTTTTGAATTTCAATAATGTATTCCTTTTTCTAAATTCTAATATATGATGTGTGGATATGCCAGGGTTCGGATTGTTTGGGGTATGTGAAGTATTTTGATGCACACCTGACAAATTTCACGGGTGGTGTTGAAACAATTGAAGATTGTGTTTGCTTACATGAAGAAGATCATGGAATCTTATGGAAGCATCAGGATTGGAGAACAGGTTTAGCTGAAGTACGAAGGTCAAGAAGGCTAGTTGTGTCTTTTATATGTACTGTTGCCAATTACGAGTATGGATTTTACTGGTATTTTTATCAGGCAAGTTATAGCATAACCCATTGTCCCATTATTATTTACTTATTTAGTAAAATAGTAACATCTTTTTGAGTTGTAGGAATACAATAATTTTATATTTTGTTGTTACATTACAGGATGGAAAAATAGAAGCTGAGATAAAGTTAACTGGGATTTTAAGCTTAGGAGCTTTACAACCTGGTGAAGTTAGGAAATATGGGACAATGATAGCTCCTGGACTTTATGCACCAGTTCATCAACACTTTTTTGTTGCTCGAATGGATATGTCTGTTGACTGTAAGCCCGGTGAATCCCACAATCAGGTCAACATTCTCAAATACTTGCAATTGCTTACTTAAAATGTGGTTAGGATTTTTTTTAATATATTAATAAATAGAATGCTTTAAAATTTGAATAATTAAAACAGGTGGTTGAGTTGGATGTGAAAGTTGAAGGGCCAGGAGATGCGAATGTACACAACAATGCTTTCTATGCTGAAGAGAAGCTTTTGAAGTCGGAATTAGAAGCAATGCGCGATTGTAATCCTTCATCTGCACGACATTGGGTTGTAAGTTTTTTTTTTCTTCTTTTTTTCGTTTGATTTTCTGAAATAACTTAAATATATATATATTATATTTATTGTAATTTATAAACAACCATTCGATTCGATTCAGATCAGGAACACGAGAACAGTGAACCGAACGGGTCAGTTAACCGGGTACAAACTAGTACCTGGATCAAATTGTTTACCGTTAGGTGGGGCCCAGGCTAAGTTTTTAAGGAGAGCGGCTTTTTTGATGCATAATTTGTGGGTGACGCCGTATGAACCGGAAGAAATGTTCCCGGGTGGGGAGTTTCCTAATCAGAATCCACGTGTTGGCGAGGGATTGGCTACTTGGGTTAAACAGAATCGCTCTCTAGAAGAAACCGATCTTGTTCTGTGGTATGTAAATTACATTTTTGCCCCCCAAAGCATAGCTGATTTTTAATTTTTCACTTACAGTTTTGGTCCTTTTTTGAAATGTATTAATAACTATATTTTTTGGACCAAATTTGCAAAAATCAGCTATACTTAAGGACCACAAATAGTTTCAATTGTTTGCAACAAATCAACAATTTTGGCGTCAATTTTGTGTCTATAGACGCCAAAATTGCAAGAGAAAACTATTTGGTGAGCAAAACTGTAATTATTGAGCAAACTCATGGACCAAAAATGTAATTTTGACAGGTACGTATTTGGAATTACACACGTACCTCGACTGGAAGATTGGCCTGTTATGCCGGTGGAACATATTGGATTTGTTCTCATGGTAATCGATATTTATATTGCAGATTATGGGCCTTTTTTCATTTATGTTTGAGAAATAATTAAGAAAATGGTTATCTGAAGATAAATAATAATAATAATATGATTGTCAGCCGCATGGATTTTTTAACTGCTCGCCGGCGGTGGATGTTCCTCCAAGCTCATTGGCTGATTTGGAAATGAAGGAAACGCCATCATGTCATAATCATAATGCTCTTGTTTCAAAGATGTAAATGAACTATTAAAACAACGCAAGTGTCCTCCATATAATAATAAAAATATGTTTGTATAATATCTTTATCTTTATGTTGCAATAAACTAAAACAATTTTATTCACGGGTATGTAACGTAGGTATGTACACTCTTCAATGCCTCCATAAACTAAATCGATGTCTGTGACGTTAAGGAAACTCCAGTCGACCACAATTAGACTGTCATAACGTTTTTTTCTTTTTTCTTTCTTTTTTTTTTTTTTAAAATGGGAAAAGCGGAATTTAAACTCTATTTTTCGTTTTATGATAATTATTTGTTTTAAATCTTTAAATATATTAGTAATCTATTTAAATTAAATTATTGTGTAAATAACTAATTTTGTGTAACATTTTGATTTGACCTTTAAGAAAAAAATATATGGTAGGAGATGAAGAAACCTGGAAGAAGAATGTGTCTAAAACATGTTCTCTTTTTATCTATGTTTTGAGATGGTTAAAGATGGAACAATATATCAATATTATAGTTCAATACATTTGATTTTAGTCAAATGTATGAACGTTGTTACGGATGATGTCATTTTTTTTATAAAGCTAGGATTTTTCTCAATTCCATTCTTTCAAGAACGGAATGGAATAAAAGAAAAAACAAATAGACCGACAATATCGTCTTTTCCAGGAATTTCAAATCCAAAGAGGTCTTAGGCAAGGAGATCTTCTTTCCCTTGTTTATTCTGGTTATGGAAAGACTACATGTTGCTATTTAAGATGCTATTGGAGAGGGGCTGTTTCAAGGAGCTCATATTGATGGTCGTTCACTTAAATTTGTCTCATTTTCTTATGTTGAGTGTTCTTCAATGTTTCTATCTCGTGTCTGGTTTGAAAATTAGTTTAGAAAAATCCTATCTCTTTGGCATTGGAGTTGGGATGAAGTGGTGGAATATTTGAAAATTAGGAGGTGTAAACTAGGGATGAGCATAGGTAGGTACCCAGCTAAAATTGACAGACCGGACCCGGCGGTACTTAAGTTATTGGAACCAGAACTGGAACCGGTTGTAACGGTTCTCAATATTTTAGAGCCGGAACCGGAACCGCCGGTTCCAGTATCGGTTCCGGGTACCCGCTCACCTTATTGAAAAAAATAAACGTGGAGTTAGCCAGGAAGCCGATTATGGATAAAATCAAAAGAAAAATGACACCTTGGAAAGTCTCTACTCTTTCTATCGGTTTCTATCGGTGGTGATAGTTCGTATCTAAGGTCTCGTTTGATACGCATCTTTCCAGGTCCAAACAGATCTTTCTGGCTGAATGGACCGGAAAGACTGTTTGATTTGCACAACAAAAAGGGTCTTTCCCGGTAAGATATGTCTTTCCCAGAAAGCCCCAAAATTATATCTTTCTGGCTGAATGGGCTGGAAAGACAATTATGCACCAAACCCCGCCTCTTTCTTTCTTTATTGGATTATTAATTTTTTTTAAATAACTTTTTTTTAATTTATTTTTTATTGAATTATTCATCATTCAGCACAGTCAATCAGATGCACAATCAAACAACATGGTTTTTTTCCCAGTCAGAAAACTTTCCCAGACAGCACTTTCCCAAACAGAAACTATCAAACGGGACCTAATCTATTTTAGGTTCGTTGGGAATTTATTTTATGTCTATTTTTCTCATGTCAATGTCTGTTGCTAAAAATCTAGAAGGCTTTCGTTCAAAATTTTTTTTGTGGAGATTCGGATCATAGAAAAATGACTTGGGTTAAATGAGATTTAGTGTTATCAGATTTTGATCAAGGCGGGTTAAATATTGGGAGTTTGATAGGTCTCAATTTCGCTCTTTTACTAAAACGGAGATGGCGTTTTTTTAACAAAAAAGCATATGTTTTCTGTGAAAGTTATTAAAGCTATATATGGTCCTAACGGAGGATTCAACTCTTATAGAGGTTTAGTCCGTGGGTTTGGACCTTGGGTGAGGATTATAGCTTCTTGCAAGTGTTTGGAGGATAAAATATTATTTCAAGATCGACGTTCAAAAGAGCTATTGGAATGGGGCCAATATTCAATTTTGGCATGATGTATGGATCGGCGATCAAAAACTAAGTTCTCGGTTTCCTTGTCTTTTTTGTTTGGAGAAGGAGAAAAATTGCTTCATTTAGGATAGAATCTTGAATAATGATTGGAGTTGGTGTTGGCGTCGGCCTATTAGAGGAGGTGAGGAAACCTTTCGGGAGTTTTAGGAGTTGCTGAATGTTATCTCGTTGGTTCATTTGACAGATAAAGAAGAAAGTTGGACTTGGAGTATGGGAAGTAATGGTATTTATATTGTAGTTGAGATGAGAATGATATTGTTCGTCGGAAAGTGAATATTTTAATGTGGAGATTTAGATTGGATAGATTACCTATGAGAAAAAACCTTGATCAGCGGGGTATTGATATTCCGACTACCTTATGCCCTTTTTGTAATTTGGAAAAGGAGCAATTGAATCACTTGTTTATTAGATGTGAGGTGGCTGCCAGAACTTGGAATGCAATTTTCAAATGTTTAGAAATTAATGTCAATTCTTTTGATGGTGTTAACGAGTTATTTGATTAAGTGGAAACGTTCAAAGGTAGTGCCATTAAAAGAAGGGTTATAGATGCGGTAGTCGACACTACTCTTTGGTACTTTTGGAAGATAAAGAAATATATTACATTTAACTCAATTAGAGAATTTTCTTTTATTTGGATTAATAATAGATTTAGAAATTTTTTTGTTAATTCAACAACTTGTAATCTCTTTTTGTATTTCTCTAGTGTTTTGCTAGAGTTTTTTTCTTTATAATATATGTGGCTGACTCTTTCTAAAAAAAATAGACATACATACTTAACAACTTATATAAGAAATTTTAATAAACAAGGGGTGAGGTTCAGAAGGATTTTGAGGAATTGAAAGGTAAATTCCAGTAAAAATTATGTTTGGTACTTTTTTTGAAGGAATCTGCATTTTTATTTTGTAGGATAAAAACACTTACGTATGTTGATACAAACCTATTTTGAAACATTGTGTTGTTTCGAGGAGATTTGATGATTTAATGCCAATAGGCAGCTATCAATTAGCCGATAGTCAATGTTTGTGGCTATGAGAGTCGGATCTAAATTGGTATATATGATTAATTCATGATCTTAGAATGTAGCAACAAAAAAACCGCGACATGTTTTCATAGCATGTATTATGATGAGATCGTTAGAATAGGCAACTATTCTACAGTTTGTTGAATTAGACTATTGTGATGAGAAAGAGAAGGTTTACTTCAAGTTATGAAAAGAGAAAAGCGGCGCTACGGGTTATCGAGCGTGATGCTAAGGGTCGAAGTCAACTTGGTTAACTAAAGTCAACATGGTCATGACGAAAGCTACTTAGAAGTGTGACGTGTCGATAAATGTCATCAAACAACGACGAAAGTGTAGGACATGTGGTGTGAGACGGTGACACGAAGCGAATTTGGAGCATGTCATGTGGGACGTGATGTGTCCTGCGGTTTGACGTGACGCGGACCCAGATATTCAACATTATATATATATATATATATATATATATATATATATATATATATATATATATATATATATATTACTATTTCTAAAAATAGATTTAAGACGTCCAAGTGTTTAAGTTAGAGTACAACAAACCTATAATATAATAATATTATATTTTAGATTGTACAAATATTTAAGCTAAAAATACAATAATGCATCCATATCTATATTACATCCCACCGTAACTTTGACTTGGTTATAATTGATTTTCTTTTTTACTCTATTTGTTCTTATCTTTACATTTGACTTCCCAATTAATTCGCTTAATTTGAAATGTAAAAGACAGATCTTCAACCGATCAAAGGTATTAATCACTCAAACCCTAATATAGTAATATCACCTCTCTCAAACCAAAGAACGAACTTCACCCCATCTCACAACCACCGTGGAACCAATCCCTCCCTCCCCGTCAAATACACAAATACGCCCCCCTATAGTCTTTCTCATCCTCATTTCTCTGATTCAAAAAGGTGAAATAATCCTTTGATCCATCACTTATCGCCACCATCTACGATAGCCACCACTAGCGCACCATCCACCATTCTCTCTTTCTTTATATATAAAAGGTTAGATTTTTCTGTTTCATCATCGTACTCCATCGTCATGTCTCTCTAATTTAAAATACATGTTTACAAAATGTAGCTTAACCCTTTGGCTTCCAATGGAATTGGTCGATGCCTCCTACGGTCCTACGCAAACCCAATGCCACCCTCTGTACACCAACACCGTAAATCCATTACTACTACCATCGCCTCACCAACTCACCTGTAGAAAGTTTATCCTTTACTACCGTCGCACCTCCGAAAACCCTAACAACGAACAACCAAATGTATCGTCTCTATGTCTCCATGTTTGGATTCCGATCAGAGACGCATCACTCCTTCACTCCCTCATCACCAATCTCTCTCTCTCTCTCTCTCTCTCTCTCTCTCTCTCTCTCTCTCCATGTGGTGAACTTTAAATCATGAACTTTAAATCTCAGGAAAATGAACTGTAATTTTTTCTATGTATAATCTAAATCACGTGGTTAACAATTTTACATGTGTCCCATTTTCTTGTAGACAAGATTCAATACACGTTTGTAAGAGAAAGGGCTTTCCCTAAATGGAGATCAGAAGCGGTCATTGACAGGTTTAAAGTTTCTTGAGACTTTATTACAGTTCCTTGAAGAGGTTTAAATATTCTTTTGAGATCTAGATTTTTATATGTATGTTTCACCAACTATATTTTATAATTTTGAGTAAATTAGTCCCTATGGTTTAGGGTAATTTACACGTTTGGTCCCTAACTTATTTTTTTAACTCGGAAGGTCCCTACTGTTTGTTTTTGTTACGCGCATGGTCCCTGTCTTACCTAAAAAGACTATTTTTCCATTTATTTTTTAATTTATTCAAATAAACACACCCCTAACCTAATCCCCTCACATTATCTTACCTACCCACCATTTTTCTCTATTTGAATAATAGTCTTTTTAGGTAAGACAGGGACCAAACGCGTAACAAAAAAAACCAGTAGGGACCAAGCGCGTAACAAAAACAAACAATATAGACCTTCCGAGTTGACAAAATAAGTTAGGGACCAAGCGTGCAAATTAC